TTTTTAAAAATGGTCTGTTTGTCATGATCCTCCTTTATCCTTATTTTTGCTAATATTGCTATTTCTAAGGACAAGAGAAAAACTTTCAGTAAACACAAAATTCTTCATGATACCATGCTCACACACTAGGCAGTGGCAGCAAACATTCACAGCAAATGTCGTAAAGTACTTTGAACATGCATGAGCATCAAGGCTTAGTTGGTTATGCTAATCTTTCTTCACTGCTCAAAGAAACTCTATTTATTTAAAACATAGAGTTCACTTATTATAACAATTTTCACATGAATTTAAGAACTAAAACACATTCTAAAAATTATTACAAACTTATTAAATACCAACCTAAAATTATTTCTATAGACATCTTTCACACAACAAAATTTAAGATTGTCTTTTCAGTTCAGAAATCTCATGACATTTTCTTAAAAACACATCAAAAGCACTCCATTTGTGATTATTATGTAGTAGGATATGAAAATCTGTCCAAGAGTCATCCAGAAGGTCAGTTATACCCCTCGATCCTTAGTTTTGTAGCTCACAGTCACCTGGACTACAAAACCTTAGCACTAATACTCTGGTCTAGAACATTCACTTCTAAAATTCGTCTGAGATTCCACACTTGACCTAGAACACAGCAGCAATTTTTCTGAATCATCTCTGTGCCTTCGTGTCCAGAGCTCCCCTATACTTTGAGACCTGGGCGATAGGGTCTCAAATTGGATATAAGTCTCTTTTGCCAGGTCATCGTCCCAGAAAGACTCAGACTGACATTGCAGTTTGCAAACTTTATACAGTAAAAAAAAAATCAATGGCAGGAGAACAACACAGGCAATACTGGTCACCACAATAAGGAAAAGCCACTGGGAATCACCTTCTCCAAGTCTGTCAGTAGAAAAGGTGATACATTGATCCTTTTCAGGAGGCACTCCTTTAGGACAGACACATGCCACATACTGCCTGCCAGGCTCCAAGCCATCGATGGTGACTTGGTTCTTGCTGGAGTCTGCATTCAACAGTACAAGCTCCTTCTCACCATACTTGGAATACAACACAGTCACCACAGAGTTACGCGTGGTGTTGGCAGTGTTCCATGTCAAAATGACACTCTCTGCAGTCTCGCTGATCACGCTGATGTCTTCTATCGTGGCATTTGCCTCCATAGGCCTTGCTTGGTTCAACAATGGCAGCTCTTCCTTCTTACTTGCACTGGCTGGAGGAAGCTTATTTCCATTCATCTCCACCTTTGTCTTTTTTTTCCCACCAGGGTGGAGCTGGAGCGACTGCCTGCTGGCCTTGGTGGTGATTGCTATGATACTAGTTCTTAGAGTTGTGGTTGAAGAAACAATGGAGGAGAAAGGAAGAGAAGAGAAGGAAGCAGTGGAGGGAGGAGACAAAGTCGAAGTAGAAAGAGAAGAGGAGGAAGATGAGGAAAAAGAGGACCAAGAAGCCAACAATGAAGTAGGCATTGAAGTCGATCTTCCCAACTTCTCAGGTTGATCTCTACTTCTTTCAGAAATGTCTGGTGATATGGTGGTTGTGACAACACCAACCACTGTCACAGTAACCACAGCTTCTGACATCCCAGCCAAATTTTTGGCCTTACATTTGTAATCCCCAGCATCCTTATAGGAAATGCTGTCAAGCTGATTATGGACCATCTGACTCCTTCCTCTGGAGACTCCTGAATTACTGGAAGAAAACGAATACATACCTGTGAGAAAAAGTTGAGCAGTCATGCCACCCTAGAAGGAAACAGCTACCTATTCCCTCTTCCACGAGCTAAGGGGGAGACCTTGTAAGTCTCTTGTGGTGGGTGATGGCTCTGAGAATTATTTGCATAAACCCTAGGACTTGTCAGGTGCTGTGGGATCTATATGAGAGGAATGGTATTTTTTTTTTAAAGATGTGGGGATAGAAAGCAGAAGATTCAGGTTTTAGTAAACCTTTCTTCACTAAATGGTATGTGATTTGGGACAAGTCAAATAGTACCTAGTTTCAACTGTTGAAACTAGCAGCAAGGCATGTACTTGGTCACAGTAGGATCTGAAAAGTCTATGTAATCAACATTTTAAAAAATTATACTTTTGCCCCATAATAAAGTTTCCCTGTGATTTATTATTTAAATAATCATTAAAAAATAAAAAAAAACATGTATGAAAGTCTCTTTTACAATCTTTTGAAGTGAACTGTGTTGATGGAGCAAGACAAACAACTTGTCTATAGCCATCATCTATTGAACCATGCCGTTTCTGTTTAAGAAAATGATTAAATTGTGTGATTTTACCTAGGGAGTGAGATAAACTGAGGAAAATAGTAACCAGTGATATGTATCCTTCTAATCCCTGGCATCCAGAGCCCTGGCAGTATAATTCAGTGGTTCCGTGTCAGATCATCTGCCTAGCACACTCATGTCCTGGGTTCAATCCCCAGCACTGGAAGAAAAAAACAAAAGACTTTTAGAGCTCAGGGTGTAGCTTTATGGCAGAGCACTTGTCTAAAACGCATAAGGCCCTGGGTTTGATCTTTAGAACTATAAAATAAAATAAAATACAAATCACTTTTATCTAATATGTTTTCTTAGAATTAACCAGCCATTTTAAAGCTGCACACACACACAAAAAGCCAGGTGTGGTGTTTCAGACCTGTTATCCCAGCTACTCAGAAAGTGGAAGCAAGAGGATTGAGAGTTCTAGGCCAACCTGGGCAAAGTTAGCATCTCAAAAACAAAATAAAACAAAAGGACTGGGGGCACGGCTCAAGTGGTAGAGTGCTTTACCTAGCGTGCGTGAGGCCCTTGGTTTAATACCTGATACCACACACACCAAAGAAAAAACATTGCACAAAAACATGAGATTAAGTTGTAAATTCCTTGTCTCATAGGGTTGAATGAAGAAAATACCTGTATAATTAACTTGCAAGCTGTCAGACCTTGTCCACATGAGCTGTGGAGTAGGGTAGCCAGTGGCATCACACCGCAGTAGGACATTACTGCCCAGAGCAGATGTGATTTTGGTGGCTGAGGTCATCACCGATGGTTTTAAACACTGCTCCAACTCTGCCCTCTGAAACAAAATTCCTGTGAGGCGTTCGGGTTCACTACAAATCATGAGTGGATCAAGAAGCACTACAGCAGGGTCAGCCATCTTTGACAACTCAATCACTTTAGAAATGTGACAGTCACAGAACCAGGGGTTGTCCTGCAGACCTAAAATAGAAGGGAGAAAAAGGTCAATAAATGTTTTTCTGGTTGGGGGCGTGGCTCAAGTGATAAAGCACTTGGCAAGCAAGTGCAAAGCCCTGAGTTCAAACCTCATGGAACGAAGGAAGGAAAGAAAGAAGAGGGGGAGGGAGGCAGAGAGAGAGAAAGAAAGAAAGAAGGAAATTCTGATGAAATCACTTTACATTACAACCTTTTGAGAAAGTAGGCCCTTGTCTCCCCTAAAACAGAAGTGATTTGGGGGTATAAAATATAGTCACCTCAGTGTCATTTTTTACCCTACAATCCAGCAATCTCAATGAACATATCCTGTCCATTAGTTCATTGAAAATCATAGCAAATATTTTCTGAGCATTTACTCTTTGCTGAATTCTGCTCTAAACACTCATCTCATTTAAGTCCAATGTGAGGGAAATACTGTTATTCCCATCTTAAACATAAGAAGCTGAGGCACAATGAGTAAAATGACTTGATGGGTAAGGTTGTCACTGAAGCCAAGACACAGAAAAGCCAAAAAATCTTGACCAAGGTCAATAGTTAATCAGTGTAAGAACCAAGATTTGAATCCATGCACCATGAAATGCCATAAGTATAGTTATACAGACATCTCTAGGGTGCTCTGAAACTATTAACAGTCAATTATAGGATGCCAAGAGCTACCTAACTCAGCCTGCAGTGCATCATGGTTTTGTGTGACTTTAAGACATGTTGAAGTAACACAAGTTTACATACTAATACCATAGAGTGAGCTGCTAGTAGTGTCAGGAGATAAGATTGAAAAGTCTGGCAAACACAAGTATGTGACTTGGCATGACTGTCTTATGTGATGGCCATCGAGGAGCTTTGCTCAATTCTCCCTCCAAGAGAGAATTAGGGTTAAGGAATGTAGGAGGCTGACAGTTTCCAGATTCTTCAGCCTCTGACTCAGCTTTCAGAACTGTGAGCAGAATTCTTTTGGCCTTCAAGGAGCCTGTCAGTGAGAGAATATGGAGATGGGGGAAGTTACTGGGAACTAGGGAAGGGAGCCCTGCTATGGGGTGGCAGAAAGTTCAGCAGCACTGTCCCTGTGGTAAGCACAGAAGTGAAAAACAAACTCAAGAGAATGAGTGACCTGCCCAGGGTCATTTCCATAAACAGCATCGAAACTGCTGGGAGACAATAGCTAAAGAACTGTCACAAACAAAGGACCAAAACTTGGTACAGTAACAGAACTGTTTGTCATTCCCAAACTCTCCAAAATTCTCAGATTAAGAAAGGACTTCAAGCCAGGTATAGTGGTGCACACCTGCCATCCCAGCACACAGGACACCGAGGCAGGAAGATCTAGAGTTCAAGGCCAGCCTGGCTACCTAGTGAGAGACTGCCAAAACAAAAACAAGGGGAAAGAAAAGAAAGAAAAAAGAAAGGACTTCAGAGCAAAAATCAAATCCCAGGGTGAGACTACAAAAATATTTGCTAAACTCTCAGAAGAATCCAATGTGGCACTCAAAGCATTCTGTCAGATAAATGTCTCCCTAAGAATCTGATATTCTATAACAGCCTCACTAAAGACCCAAAATAGAAAAGGATATATCTCAGAGAATTGTGGTTATGGTTTTTACTAATGGTGTGGGATATAACTGAGAAGAAAAATAATTTGAAAAATTCTAACCCTGGTAGAAATTTAGCTGCTAATTTGTACAATCTATATTTCCATTTATGCCTATTTGTATCTAACAGCAGATCGTGACTGGCTTGTTTTTCTGCCAATGTTGTTAGTTTTTTATCGCCTATTTTGGAATTTTGCTTTTCTCCCATAAGTGAATAACCTTGAACTTTTTCCTGTGAATTTATGACTAGTTCTGTAATTAATATTTATTCAAATTCTGTTCTCTCAAGTGTTGGCTCCTTTACCCTATTTCATGCCACACACAGACTTTATGGTTTATTTTTACATTGGGTAACTGAGTGTGACCCTGAAATCTAATGGCAGGGCTGAAATCCAAGTTCTAGAAGCTCCACGATGGGGAGGTATCCAACAACCTCTTGTGCTTGCTAGGCAGGCACTCTACCACTTGAGCCAAACTGCCAGGTAACCATTCGTGATAAACATAATACTAAAAACCTTCTGCTATATAGTTAAAGTTTCAAATTCTGATTAAGCTACACTTCTACACAAGAAAAACATTTCCTACACTCTCGTCCATACCTTCTTGCTATTAACAAAGAGTTCAAATTTATGTAATCTGCATCTCTACTAAAAAACACAGAGATACATAAGTAATGGCGGTGATGAGGCCCAATAAGTATACCTAAAATAATGAGGTCACTCATAAACCCATTCTACATCCAGGGTGGGGTCATGGATCAAGGGTAGAGCACCTGTCAAGCAAGTACAAGGCCCTGAGTTCAAACTCCAGTACCACCAAAAACCCATTTTATCCCTAGACCCCTGATAGATGTTCATTTACTATTGCAAGTTTTAATCAACCTGAGGCCAGATGTAATTATGATATAGAAAAGAAATTAAAAACTAGTGGAAAATGATATCTTCAGACACTTGAATTTACTGGGCTCTAGATGGGACCCTGTGATCTTGGGGCTCTGTGACCTTGGTTCTACATGGAGCTCTGTGACATTGAGCTTTTTGTCTCACTCCAGTCAGGATGAGTATCATCAAGAAAAAAAAATGCTGGAGAGGATGTAAGGGACTGTTGGTAGGACTGTAAGTTAGTACAGTCATATGGAAATCACTATGGAGGTTTCTCAAAATTTTTAAAAATAGCATGGTGCAAATCTTGAAATACCAGTGCTCAGATGGCTGAGGCCAGAGGACTGCAAGTTTGAAACCAGCCTGGGATACATAGTGAAACCTTGTCTCAAAAAATTAAAAATAAAACTACCACATGATCCAGTTATATCATTTTGGGCATAATTGTCAGCTTACTCTAGAGACACCTGCACACCCATGTTTATCATGGCACTATTCATATGAGCAAGGTATGGAATCAGCCTACATGTCTATCAGTGGGTGAACAGACAAAGAAAATATGGTATATATACACAATGGAGCTGTATTCAGCCATAAAGGAGAATGAAATTATGTCATTTGCAAAAAAAATGGATGGAACTGGAGATTACCATGTTAAGTGAGATAAGCTAAATAATGACTTGGCTTATTTTAGAAGGAGATACAGGACATGAAAGTAAAAGGGAACTGGTAGGGAAATGAAAGGAGAGAAGTGGGGAGGAACATAAGAGAGGATAATTGAGGGAGTAAATTTGATCAAAGCATAATATGTGTATGCAAAACAAATGTCACAATGAGCAGGTACTAGGATCACACCTGTAATTCTAGCTACTTGGGAGGCTGAGATTGGGAGGATCATGGTTTGAGGCCAACCCAGGCAAATAGTCTCAAAGTCACATCTCCAAAAAGTAAATAGAGAAAGATGGACTGAAGGTGAGCTTCAAGTAATAAAGTGCCCACTTTGCAAGAGCAAAGCCTGAGTTCAAACCCCACTCCAGTTCCACAAAAAAAAGAAAAAAATGTCAGCCATTACTTTGTACAATTTATATATGCTAATTAAAAAAAGAATTCGGCTAGGGATATAGCTCATTGGTAGAACACTTGACTAGCATATGCAAAATCTCTGGGTTCAATCCTAGCACCAACCCCCCCAAAAATGTTTTAAATTAGGTCAGCTGCTAAATAAAGTGCCACTAACTTCTACAAAAAGTTACAATGATTACAAATTTGAGTTTGCTATCAATTTGTATTATTAGAATCATGAGCTGTAATTAGGAAGAAATTAATGAAATGAATATATTACTGTTGTCTCTCTATGTCTCTCTCTATATATCTCTCACTATGTGGCTGTTCTCTCACAATCTATCTATCTTCTCAAGAAGATGGAGTTATGTGCCTGCTCACTAATTTAAGAGAGATGACACTAGTGACAAGAAGACAGAGAAAAGAGAATTCAAAGTGGAACATGTATAGAATACCATCATATAATAAAAATTTAGAAATACAATAGTAAAATGTTTACACTGAAATGAAAGATTAGTTACTTTACATTTTATATCTATGAATTTTATCAGCATTCTACATAACAGAATTCTACTCCCAAAGTTATTTATTATTTGACTTTAATATTAATTTCATAATTAACATATGTAGAATGCTTTAACTTTCAAAACACCTCAACTTGTTACAAAAGATTTTTCAGTAATTCTAGTGATACAAATTAATAGTTATTGGTGGTTTCCTACATGGCAATATTGCATTTTTTAAGAACTGTAAAGACCCTAGAATTTTATTCTGCTTTAGGATGACCAACCCATCCCATTTAGCCCAGGACTTTGCTGATCTTAACACTGAGAGAACCACATCCAGGGAAACCTCTCAGTCCTGGACAAACCAGCCTGCCACCATTTTATAGTTGTTCATAGATGACCATGACTGTTGGTCAGACTTGAAGGCTAGATAATTACTCACAGCCCTGGAGAGACATTATCATTTTAAACTCTCATTATACTCCGTAGTAAGCATATCTATCCTTTGCTCTGAAGGGAGACCTATCTCTACCTTCCAGAGCTGTTCACTAACAAAAATCCTTACAAAAATGGTGCAGAATAAAATGAAGTGCCCACCTGTGCTTACAAGAATGCAGAAACTAGAAAGATCATGGAAAATTGTCTTGCATCAATACTGAACATCCAAAATATGGTCTAACTCCATTCTCACAATAGCATAACATATCATTATCCTCATCTTAGAAATGAGAAAACCCTTGGACACTGTTAGTGAAAATATAGATCAGAAAAACAGTATGTAGATTTCTAAAGAAACTAAAATAGAACTACTATGTAAAAATAAATACATACATAAAAGATGAGAAAACCAAGAGGCTGGAATTTAGGAATCTGTCAAAGGTCACACAATTGGGCAGCTAGGATTTGAATTTAAGTACCCTGATTTTAAAGCAATACCTTGCTGTGTCATA